CGCCCTCTATATCATCAAAATCGAAATATGAATTTACTTTACATAAACAATGAAAAAGAAGCTTTTTATGTAGCTAAGAGATTAATTTTACATCATGTTTTATAAACTGTGTACTGCAGAGATGCCGGTGACAAAATTTATGTATTTGCTTACAATTATTTGTTTGATTTTAGTTTATTCATTTATATTCAAGCCTATTCACATTTTCATTTTTATCACGCAGTTGTTGCATCAGTTATCTGTGCCATAATTCCTTATTAATAATTTTTAAATTCCAAATATTTATTATTAAAATTCTGTAGATATTTCCATTCGTGTTCATAATATAAAATTAGATATTTTTTCCTGTGAAAATCAATTAAACAATCTATACATGTATAAAACAAAAGCAATTGCATCTTTAAAAATTACATTTTTCACTCGTAATTTTTCAATCGTAACGTTTTCATTTTTAATTTCATTTGCTTTTACTCCATCTAAAAAAAATAATTGACAATGTTTCATATAAAAAAATTAAGTTTACATTATTATAATTTAGTTTCTAATATTTAAACGATTCGATCTTTATGTATCGACAAAAACAAATTAGACTATTTAATTCTCATAAAAATGGCAAATCTACAAATTGTTTATTTTATCTTTTCTCATATATATATATAAGAAATATTGTATAAGCAGTAAGTTTTAAAATTTAATCTTAGCGTATTTTTGTTTCTCTTAATCCTAAAAAGTTCCCAAAAGGTTAAGAATGTGTGGGTATAGAAGCCAACACTGTATTGTTACTAACGGTTATATACCTGGAGCAATCTTCTTAAAATGATGATGGCATGAATCTGCCAGTCGCCATGCAATGTTTATTTTCATGTTGTTATCTCTCCACTGTAAACGAAATATTAAAATCTAGGTATAGCTTTATAATATAAGGATATCATAGGGCTATACTTAGATTTTAATATATAAAAGCGGGGAAAAGAAAAAGAAGAAATATTATCAAATATAATAATGGGCAATTAGCTTTCAATTATATCTAATTTACGACAAACATTTTTAATCGCAAGAAAAAAACAGCTTAAAATATATATAAAGGTTTTTCGTAAATATATAATACAATTTGGATATTTTTTGCCCCTGAATAGGCACCAACGGAAAAGCCGGTTTATGGACGAATCATGTTAAAGTGAAAAAAAATATTCTTATATATTTACCATTCCGTCGGGCTCTAGTACAACTTCACTATTTCTATACTATTTTGTTTGCTTGTTTTTTTTTTGTGATCTTTCGTTTCGGCAGATATGTCTACAAGAGTCTTTCATTACAGCGATATGAAATTTATTAATTTACGTGTTGTACGGATTAATAATTCTTTGAAATAAAAACTCAACAGCATTTTAAATATTCTGGCGTCTGTTGGGTTCCATCTATTAGAGTCACATTTCTATATATACTTAGAAAAAAGTAACAGTATGGCGGAATTAGATTTCCAATCTTAACCTTGAATTAATTTATTAGAAACTGAAAGGTTTTTATTGATGCCATTAGCATTTCATGGCTGATTTTTTTTCGTTTTTATAGACTATGAAAGCTTTGTGGCGTTAAAATATTATATTTTATACAGAAAAAATGTAAACCTTCTTGTCTTGAGATAATAACATAAAACGCCGTTAGGAAAACAGATCATAGAAAATTAAGATTAAAAAGTAAACTGAGATCCTTTGGAGAAGGACATTCAAGAAACAAAAACAAAATATAATCAAAGATAAATTATTGGGAATCTATTTCCTCAATTCTTTAAATGTCAAATTAAAAAAAAAATCCATTTTTTTTTTAATTTAATGGAAAATCTAAAATGGTTCCACTTTCTTCGGCAACAAATTTATTTTATATTATAAACGTTTTTATTATGAATTCTGACCACTTTCTTCTTTAAACAACTGAAGAAAATAGTAACAATTATCAATTTAAAACATGTGTTGTAATAACATTATTTCAGATAATTGAGTCAATTGTAAAGATATCTTTGAATGAAGTCGCGATATTTTTATTCTCGTGCCAGATATAAAATAGCTTTAGAATTTGAAGTCTCTCAAAATTTGATGTATTATTTTAGCTATGAAGCTGATTGTTAAAATCAGAAATGAATTTAATAATCAGTGAATAAAATGTAATTTAATGATGTCATTTTCTAGAAATATTTCGCAGGAATATTCCAGGATTAGTTGATCTTTGTATTTAATCCATTGTCGTTAAAAAAAAAAAAAAAAAAAACCATCTGTAGTAAAACTTATACCGAAATATTTTTTATATAATAATTTCCTCCAATCTTAACATTTATATGAAAAAGGATTATATCAGAGGATTAGATATGCATACAAGGATAGATCAATAAGACGGTAGCCTGACACAATTATTAACTGAATTTCGATCTGAAAATTTCGCTGTATAATGTTTGATCTCTGCGGCTATTGCAGAAATATTGATTTAAGTGATGGAAGATATTTAAAAGAACAAATATTTTTGTATAAAATAAATGCTTTTTTTCATTAGGCTGCATATATTTAACTCCTATGTATTTTAATACAAAGCGCATTTTGTAGATTACTTAATTTTTATTTTTTTTTAGTCATTAAAGTTAAATAATTTATAAGCGAAATATTTTGTTAAAATGAAGTATTGTCAGTTACTAACTTTTGTTTCTGACATTTTTAAGTCACAACGTCAATCCACGATCGTTAGGAAGCAAAGTGAATTTAAAACAAAGACTAAAACTCCGGTAAGATTCGAACTCACATTCCACATCGTTGAGAATCTACCGTTCAGCTGCTTTGGAACTTATTATTATTGTTGTTGCTATCTTCCCACTGATTCAAAGTAAAGAGTACGTATTTCGCGAAATCGAATTAACAGAATATTCGATCATTTTGTTAATATTATTCTGAGCATTTATAATGAAAGCACTTTGGAGATGGTTCGTTTATACACACACATATATATATATATATGTATAATGAACAAATAGGAAAACGTTTATAAATTAAACATATTTCGTTTTTATTTTTTGGGCAGACTTGGGTATAGATATTTTATATATATATATATATATATATACTGTATGTGTGTATAATACAAATATAAAAATTGACGCTCTTCTGATTGATGTTATTTACAGCACCTTGATTATCGTAGACTACCCTTTTGTAATCGTTCGGTCCACTCGTCAGGATGTTTCAACTTTTAGATAAATTTTGATAAATCTTTTATATATATATATATATATATGTATATATATATATATATATATATATATATATATATATATATATATATATATATATATATATATATATAATGACGAACCATCTCCACAAATGCTTTTATTATAAATGCTAAGAATATTATTAAAAAAAAAAAGAAAGAAAAACAAACACTATCTTCATAGATTTTGGTAATTCGATTTCGTCAAATGCAGACTTCTTTACTTCGAATCAGTTTAGAGACAACAACAATAACAACAATAACCGGTGCCAAAGCGGCTGCCACGGACTGGCAAATTCCCAAAGATTAAAATGTGTGGGTATAGAAGCCAACGCTGCATTGTCACTAATAGTTTTATTACTGAAGCAAGCTTCAGACTACGATGAAGGCGTGAAATTGCCAGTCGCCATGAAATGTTGATTTCCATGTCCATACTCTTAAAAAAAATAGTCAATCACCGACACCGAGCGCCTACCCTTTTGAAATATAAGAACTTTTTAAAGACACACACACACACTTAGGGTTAGTAAATCCAACATTTACACGGTATGTGGGATATACATTATATATATATATATATATATATATATATATATATATATATATATATATATATATATATTTATATATAGGAATTTGAATTGTTTAATGCACGTTTGATTAAATACCAGTAAAAAGTTCGTATTGATTATATTTTTTATTTACTTTTTTTTATATTTAATATTTGACTTGTTTGATTTCCAGTTCGTATTGGTAAATGAAGTTTCCAATGGCTAAATGCTTTAAGCTAAATGGTATAAGCCAAAAGAATTCACAAATAGGAACTTTAATTTACAAATACCGACCGTAATCACACACACACACACACACACATATATATATTTATATATATATATTGCTCCTCTACTAAGATATATATATATATATATATATATATATATATATATATATATATATATATATATATATATATATATATATATATAATAATACTGACTTTTTCAAAGCAATATTTGAGCTAATATATTTCTTCCCTGGTTTCACTGCAGGTAATATTTTTTATAGCCATTAATATTACAGGAGTTTTTTCGGACAACTGAATTACGGGAGAAAGCGGTAGAATTAATCGGCTGATATATATTACAAAGGAATTCAATTTTTCGAACAAAACATGGAATATACCTTAATAAAATCCCAAAATAACTCTGCCAGTGCTGTATTTACGGTTCACCTAAACAAATTTAAGGCCTCGCCATTCGCAAAATACTTTTGGATCGATTTTAAAATTCTGGTGTCATTTTTTAGCAAGAGGCTTTCAGTAAAATTGTCGGCTCAGTGAAGTTTAAATACTCTACCTTAGTCAACCAATTTACTAAATTATTTATTACACACGTAAAACAGTCTTAATGGCTGTAAGATGAATACACAATTGAAGAGGCAAATCTAAATAATAAAATATTAAAAAGAAATAATAGAAAATAAATATGTTTTTTATAATATCACACAACTCCAGAATTAGTATATATGTTTATTGATTATATTTAAGAATAAAAATCGAATATTATTTTTTCTATTTGCATATTACACATCAATGTATACAGAATTTTTAAACAGTTCTATTTATTAATTTGGACACGAAGTAGTTTATTTTTAGTTTTTTAAAATATTTTAGGGATTTAAATTATTCGAATTTTTAAATTCGATATTCCCTTTTTAAATTTCATTATTTTCATTTTAACGTTAACTGTATGACCGTGTGCGCACACACGCATCTCTCTCTCTCTCTCGCTGTCTCTCTCTCTCTCTCGCTGTCTCTCTCTCTATCTCGCTGTCTCTCTCTCTCTCTCTCTATATATATATATATATATATATATATATACATATTTCTTAATGATTTTTTTACATAAAGAACAGATTATACTATTAATTTGCCTGCTATTAATTTTAAAATTAAAAACAAAAATAAGAATTATTCTAAATAATTTATTCTTTTTATTATTAAAGTTAAAAGATTTTTTGAATGATTATAAAAAACGAAAATCGTAAAATATACTGTATTCATCCATAATAATTATGCTATTTAGATTATGAAATGTGTATGCAAATATATTTTGATAATACATAGGTATTATTTGCTAATATTTTATTAAAAGCAAAAAATATCGCTCGAGGCTTCTATACGAAGTTGAGGTAGACAATAAAAATGCACAGGATTATTTTTCTTAAACTTCCCTGTTGAAATGGAAACTTCTGACATAAATCTTTTAAAGTTAATAAATACGGAGCAAATCTTACCGAAAAACATAATACAATTAATTCTTCCAATAAAGATGGTTTACATGAGTCATCAAAAATGTGTATAATCCACATTCATAAATATATTGGATATACAACAGCATGCATAACAAGAAGACTTGCGTTACATCTCTCAGACCATAGTTCAATTGGGTCTCATTTAAATAAACATGGAATCCTACCAAACTCTATCTGTAAAATATTCCTTGATAATACAAATATAATGACCCCATCTACATGTAAAAAAGGGCTAAAAATAATGGAAGCATTAATAAAAAAGAAAAAGCCAACATTCAATAATATCAACTATAAACATGGCCACAATATGTTGAGCTTGTTTGGAAAATAAAACATTCCTATTACTCTAGATACATACATAAAACAATCCATCCATTCAGTTAAAAGTAAAAATAAAATCAAAATTCTACATAATTTATGTCCAGAAAAGAAGAAAATTATAAGAACGCACGAAGAATTAAGTAAAAAAACTTAACCGCAGTACTTTGTCAGTAGTTTTTAATGAAAAAAAAAACGGATTTGGCCATATATATATATATATATATATATATATATATATATATGTGTGTGTGTGTGTGTGTGTATTAATAATAAATATACATTTTCCCAGCTGGTGGCGCAACTCACTGCTAGCTGATTGAAATTAATCAGCACCTGACGACTGCACTGCACATGAAAATGAAAGTTGTGCTACCAGTGAGGAAAAAATGTATAATTATTATTAATATAAATTATAACTTTTTTATTATGCATCGGACCATCCGTTATTAGCACCAATGCTCAATGTGCAATATTTTATATTCGTGTCTGTGTGTATGTATGTATATATATATATATATATATATATATATATATATATATATATATATATATATATGGGCAGCAACCTTACTTTTTAAGCATCATTCATTAAATATGGCAGGCAAGCAAGATTAAATTTATACATATATAATGTATGGATTTGATGTTAATATAATGTATGGTTTTCAACAGGATGTTAACTATTCAGGATGCCGACATTTTTTTAATATATTTCCATATTTTTGATGTTTCAGGATGCCGACTCCAGAGTTTCGTCAACAGGACTGTTCGTTCTCTATTCGGGAGTATTAGCAATTTACTGCTTATATTTTATCATTTTTTTAATATATTTTTAATATTTTTATACGATGGAGTAATGGATAGCGGCTCAGATTGAGAAATCTGTGAGTCGAGTTCAAATTCCAGTCGATCCATTACATGCACTTACTTTCTCTTATTAATACACTTGGGAAAGGTATGAATCCTCTTCTTCTACCCCAGCTATGGGTAAATAGCAGAACAGACCGGGTTCTATAGCCTTTGATGGCATCTGGTCTACCACAGAAAGAAATGGCAACATACTGCGGGAAAAAAATCTGATCGTCAGTCATGTATCCAAAGATACATGATCGCGTAAGTGTGTATCACGCATGGCACATAAATGATTGACTGATTTATAATTAGTTAAATAATTTTGCATTTGTAATCTAGGATTTTTATCTATACAATTAATTCTGTTATTGCACGTAATAGAAAGATAATTGTTTGTAATTAATTTTACAGATGTATTGTTTAAATATCGTGCATCATTAAAATTAACATTATTATTGTATTTCAGAATTCTGCTTTTCATGTCGTTTAAACCAAATATAATGTGACTTTCCGTTGTTAAGGAAATATGAGGCATATTCGTTTGTTGGTGACTAGTTATGTTTTATGTTACTATAATAACGGAATATCTAATTACTAAGAATTTCTGCACTAGCTCTATTGAATATATAAATTCCAATAGATAAATATAACTGATAATAAATCTCCACCTTGCAACCTCGATAAAATATTTAAGTTTTGTATTATTTTGGTTTGGTTTGGTTTATTTTGGTTTACGACATATCAACCTCAATGGGTTATTTAATGCCAACAACATTTTTTATTGCTGTTAATATTTTGTTTAGTCAAAAATCTCTTTCTGGAAATATATTTCCTTCAAAATTGTATTGCTGGTAATAATTTTTTTCAAAAAAGTATTGCTGGTAATAGTTAACTATTTGCCCATAGCTGGGACCCTAACAGGTGCTACTACCCCGGGTCAGGATGGACCTGGGAACACCAGCAATTAAGAGGTGGTTCCACGCTCCTCAAAACCTCCTGATCAGAGGCCTTGCTGCTGGACGTAGTTTAACATCTTACCCAGGACGCGGATGTAGTTTAACGTCTTACCCAGGACGGTTGTATTATTTTAAAAATGAAGATTATACCATAAGTTTTGTTCAGTGTAACGTTCCTACCAAATGAGCCATGAACCTTAAGTGTTCAATACGGGAATATTTAAACCAGTGTGGAATCATACCATCCTCGAGACGCAATCATACTCGTTGGGAAGACGAATGGGATACTTACCTCCCCTTGTAAAAAAAGCATTTAAAATTGATCTTAAAAAAGAAAACAAGAACCCAACAAAAACCAAACAAACAAGAAGCCAAAAAAAAAAAAAAAAAACAAACAAACAAAAAACCAACTTTTGATTACATCAGTTATGAACATGGCCATAATGTAGTGGCCGTATTTGTACGTTAAAAATATCTCTACTTTCAGCAAATTTATTTAAAAAGAAATGATATCCCGGGATGCAATCCATCTTGAAACATCTAATTTCTTTTATTCTTAACTCTAAAAACCAGTCTAAAGCTCGGTAACTTAAGAAATAGTAGAAACTGTCGACAGTTCCTGCTAACATATGATAGTGGAAGTAATCTGTTATTTTGAAATCAGAATTATTACAAAAAAGACCGTACTAGGCGTAATTGAATATTTTATGACATGGAACAGGTAAGAAAATAATCAAAAATAAATGCAATAAGTAAAACTCATCTAATTATCATCTATTTTTCAATTAATTTGTTATACTCCTAATGTTTTTGTTAATAACGATTTAATGTCGACATTCCTCCGGTCAAATCTGAGATATTAAATTATGCAAGCATCGAATTTCAGCAGAAATATTTTTGAGTTTTAAGGAATTGTTTTTGGTAAGGTTTGTGACAGATTTTCAATATGTTCAGTGTCCATATTGTATATTCTATTCTATTTTTTTTTTTTTACTGAAATAACATCTTCAGGGATATTTTTAAGTTCTCGATCCTCCCCTTTAAAAAAAAAAAAAAAAGAAAAAAGGAAGACTTTTAAGTATTTACGATATTTTGAAGGAGGAGGTGGAACTAATCAAATAAAAAAATATTTCCCCAAAGTCTTCAAAAATAATAACTCGTTAAACATAAAAATGAGTTTTAAATGAGTAAGTACTGAAAAATTTAGTCAAATCGAGTAATTCTTTGTTTTTGTTAAACTTTTAAAAGCTGGTGGTAGGGTTTACGTTTTGATTATGATATCATTTTAATAAGAGAGCGCACTAATTTTGGTGCTAATGGATATGAACCATAGACAAATTTCTGCATAGTCTTTAATCAACCATTTGTTCTCTTATACGTAAACAAGTGAAAGTACAAGAAAACTAAATATTCCTTGTCGATCATATTGATATATATATATATATATATATATATATATATATATATATATATATATATATATATATATATATATGTGTGTGTGTGTGTGTGTGTGTGTGTGTGTGAAAATATATAGAAAATAGGAAGTAACTGGTTAGGTAAATAATCCAAAGTTCCTTAGTATTTTAGTTATTATTTAAAAAAAATAGTGCTCGATACAAAAATAGAGCATAAATATAATTATTTATTTAAAAATATGATTCCAAACATGAGACTTCTTATGTCACGAGTTGGAATCATATTTTTAAATAAATAATTATATATGTTTGTGTGTGTGTGTGTGGGTGTGTGTGTGACTAAAAATATAGTTTCAAGGTATGCTATATTTATGGGTTAAAGTGCTCAATGTCAGAGATAGAACGTATATAAATATAAAAGTGGGCATTGCGGTCAACACCCAGAGGGGCAGCCTGTTTTATGCTTAAACGCAATCTTCAGTCTGAACATTACAACATTAAGTTTAAGCACGAAACAAACTGTCGCCGGTGGGTGTTGACCTTATTGCCCACTTATATATATATATATATATATATATATATATATATATATATATGAGAGAGACAGAGGAAAGTTATACATTACACTTTTTTAAATAAATTTTCACGCGACTCTGCAGATTTAAATTTAAAAATAATATCGTGAGATGCAATTTTGGGTAGATTGGATATAGCATCTAATTTTTTTTTTATTCTTGATAATGCCAGACGCCAATACAACAAAAACCTTAGCAAGTACTAACACGAACTTTTTAAACATCAAGATAGGGGAATTGACTCGTCAACAAGAAAAATGATTAAATAAAATTCTTATAGATATAACATGACAGTTATTTTCCACAAGTTTGTCTGAAAGAACATTTGCCGCTTAAATATAAATATATTAAACATATATATTAATAGTACTAAACTGGCAGCAAGGTTTCATCAA